ACTGGCCTCCGCCAAGGCCACCGGCCTCCTCGCCCCCTCCCTGGCGCACCCCTTCACCGGGGAAACAGGACTTGGCATCTCAAAGGGTTCCGGCCTCCCTTCAGCACCGACAACTCCCTCCTCCATGGCTCCCAGGCGCTTCCCGAGGGCCCTGCTACCAAAAGGGGCACCTCTCTCTCTCCCCCCACCGTCCCCCCACCCCCAAGAATCCTCGAATGCTTTCAAGCTCTCCCAAGAGCTGGCCGGCTCCTCTTCCTCCCGTCGCCTCCCGGGCTAGACGGAGCCCCATCTTGGGCCCCGGCACAAGGCATGTGGGTCGGATTCTCCCAGGGTTTGCCATTTCCCTCCCGTGTGCTTGCCCTCAAGTTGCACATGGAGGGAGCAGCATGTTAAAAAAGAGAGAGAGAGGGCTAAAGAACGAACCAGCCACACCAGGACCGGGGATCCTCCTCCAGCAGCAGCAGCAGTCCCCTGCAGAAACCCACACCTCTGCCGGGAGACCAAGCACGGGGCCTCGGGGCTGCTCGCCCTCCTGCAAACTAGCCCAGAGAGCGGCGCTCAAGATGCCCGCGCAGCCGGCCGCTCAAGGCCCGGGGCTGTCGGGGAAAATGCCTTCCGGCGGCCTGCTTTTGAAGCCTCCCACCCACCCCAGCCAGCCAGCCAGCCAGCCTTCTTTATCTCCTCTCCTGGGGCGAGGAAAGGCCCGGCCCAAGCCTGGCCATCCAGCCCCCCCCCCACCGGCTCCAGGGTGTCCTTCTCCAGATCCTTCCTCAGCCTCCACCCACCCCCCAAGGCTCCCTTCCTGAGGGTCTTGCATCTTCTCTCTTTATCCCGGGGGAGGGGAGGGCACCCCTCCCCAAATTCAGCTAACTGCGTTCACGCGACGAGTGGGAGGTAGCGCTCAGCGGGCAGGAGGGTTGGAAAGCCCCTATCCTTCCACCTCCCCCCCCCATCCACACACCCCTCTCAAAAAGCCAAGTTCTGGGTCTAAAGGTGCGGGTGGGGCTAGCATCTGCAGGTGCTCAGAGGCACTCTTTCTCCTGCGGAACTCGGTTTACCGGGAGGAGACGCGAGGGGAAGGAGGGGGGAGCTGGGGCGGCCCGTTCTTCCGCCTGCCTTACCTGGGGCTCCCCATCGCCTTCTTCATGGTGGAGGGGGGATGCTCCGGACTGGGTGCCTCTTTGCCTCTCTCTGAGTGGTTTGCGAGGAAGTGTTACAAGCCCTAAGGTGGGGGGGAAGGCTTTTGCCCCACACTCCGGTAAATTGCAAGAGGAGCGGTTCTGGCAAAGAGCGTCCCGGGGGAGGTGGGATCTTGATGGAGCCGAAGCGGGAAACTTTCCAGTTTTTGCCGGCCCTCCTTCCTTCCTGGCTCTCGGTTCCTCACCCCCAGCCTGGGTCCCTCCCTTAACCCTCGATGTGCTGGAGACAGCGCGAGAGGAAGGGCTGCGTTGGGTTTTTGCTTTCAGGACGGTGGGGGAAAGTCGTTTGAGAAAAAGCGGGATGGTTTTCCCACGGACCGGGCTCAAGAAGCCGCCGCGCTGACCTCGGGGCCAGCAGAGTGCGGGCTGATCGGCTCCGCCGGGCGGGTCTCCCTGGAGCAAACCAGGGAGGTGGAGTCCCTGCCGGGAAACCCAGGGTGCGTGATGGCCAGGCACGTGTGAATGTCACCTGGGTCAGGGGCGCAGCCGCCCAAGCCCTCTTGCCACACCTGCGGCTTTAAGAGCAGCAGGGGAAGGAAACTCCCCTGGCGCTGGGGCGGGAAAAGGGGGGGAGAGAGTCGCCTGCCTGGAGAAGGAGATATCCGGTTGCCAGGATGGGCCGACGCTTCCGGTGTATGTGGGTGTTCTCGATGAACCTTCGGCTCGCCCCGCCCGACACACTTCCTGAAGAGATAGGCTTTCGTTTTGCTGAGCGGCCTGAAGGACACGCTTTGCAAGACCTCAGCTGCTCCTCCTCAAAGCAGAGGGCCTGTGACTTGCAAAGCGGAGCTGCGAGCGTAAAAAATAGCCTCACTTGCACAGAACTCAGCTGCTTCATCGGCCCACTTAGAATACGCTTTGCTGACCGTGGGATGCCAGAGCCTGGCCCGTTCGCTGGCGCGGGGCTGTTCCGTTCTGCAAATGGAGAGGGGGTTCAGCTTTCTGGCCAGGGACCACTGGGGAGCAGAATCGGGCCCGGCGGGAGCCTCTGGAGTGGCGCGTTCACACGTACCCTTCGCGTTTCCCGCTGCAGGAGCTGCTGGAGGAAGTGGTGCGGCTCCGCTGGTCCTTGAAACTCTCGCGCTTGAGCGAGGCGGGGCGCTCCGGAGAGGGGCAGCTACTGCGCCCGCTGTAGGAGAGAGAGCCTCAGCGGCGGCGTCGCCAAAGAAGGGCAGAGAGGCAGGAGGAGGCCGGGCGGGGAGATGGGCCGGCCGGCCAGCCAGCCAGGGAAGCAGGCCAGGCGCAGGAAAGAAGCAGGAGGTGCCGGGAGCCGAAGCGAGCAGGAGCAGAAAGGGAGCTTGGTGGGCGAGAAGCGAAGCGTGGGTTGGTGAGGAAGAGGAGGAGGAAACGAATTCCCCCCCCGCCGCCCCCCGCCGGTGGAGTGCGAGGAAACTGCTTTGCAGGAGCCTAGGCGCCTCCTCCAAGGTGACCGCTTTGCACGACCTGAGATGCTGCTGGAAAGGAGCTCCGGGCGCCCCCGTTCCGAGGCAGGCCTTGGCGGGCAGAAGGAGAAAAGGAGCTGCTCCGGGACGGGCAGACGGTGTGGCTGCATTTATGGCGGAGGCACCCCGGGAAGAGATTTGGGTCTCCCTGCGCGGGGGGTGGGGTGCGGGAGAGGGGGAGAGTGAGTCTTCCCCTCCCGGGCTCTCTTGCATCGGGGTCCTGATCTTACCGCCCCCAAGCGTGCACGGCCCTGGTGCTTGGCAGGCAGGATGTGTCACGTGGGAGGGGGGGCCGGATTGAGCACAAGGCCAGGAAGGCCGAGTCCTCTCCACCCCCACCCCCACCAGTTCCTGGAAGGAGACTTGGCACCTTCCTACCTCAGGCTGCCCCTTGGCAACTGAGCTGTTTAATTCCCTGAAAGGAGCAAAGGCAGGTATAGTGCCACACGTCTAGACACCGGCAGAGCAGGCCAGCCTAGCTGGCTCAAACAAGTAAGCCAAGTTGCATGTCACAATAAGGCATGCCTTCCTGTACCTGGTTCATTGAGTGGAGGGAGTCGGTCCCGGCCAGCCTCGGCTCAGGCTGCCCCTTCCAGCAGACTACGGGGTGTGGGCCAGGTTTGGTGGCTGTCAGTGGTGGGGGGGAACGGTTGCCTGAGCTGTAGGACAAGACTGGCTGTGATCTAGATTTAGACAGCGAGGGGGGGGTCTTTCCCTTCACTTTCCCATGTGCCACCCCATTGTTTAGCAGGCAGTGGGAACCAAATGTAGGTCCCACCCCACCTGTTAGCTGGCACAGTCCCTCCCAATTCTGCCACCAAGGTAAAGAGCAAAGATCAGCAAGAAGCAGCCGGGGGGGGGCAGGGGGAGAGGTTTCAGCATGGAAAGTGGAGGTGGGGGTGAAGGGTGCTTGTCCAGAGCCATCATGCCACTGCCCCAAGGGAGAAGGGGGCATATTGACCACCACCCTCCTAGCCACACAGACCCACCCTATCCATGTGGTCTGGCTGCTTCCAACCCCCCCCCGACCCTCACGGTTCCAGAAGTACACCATGTGCAGCAGGAACCTGTCAGTCTGTAATCACTGTCACATGCCAAAAAATGCCCGAGGGCCTGCATTGCCACTCGCTGCCAGGAGAACCCAATGCCACCCCACATAGAATTGCAGGCAGAAATCCAACAGGCACAGCTGTCACCATTGCGTCCTCCACATTCTGAAGAAGTCTTGGAGCAGGCTTGAAAGCACAGAAACTTCTCAGCGGGGGGGGGGGGATGTTTATTAACTATCACAAAAAATATTCTAAAGCATTAAATATGGGTTTAAAAAAAGAGGGAGAGCTTGATTTGTGATATCAGCTTGGAATGGAGCTTCTGCATTCAGAGGCAGTCTACCTCAAGGTCCAAGCTGCTGAGAAGAAACCATAGAGGAGGGCCATATGGGCCTTCCCATCCTTGCATAGGGGCCTTCCAAAGCCATGGGGCTGGGAATAAGTTACAAATACAGACATTGAAATATTCTCTCTTTTTTTACTGCGTCTCCTGGGATTCTGAACCAGATGGGTTTTGGAAAAGCTTGGAGAAGTTACTTTCTGGGCTAGAGCTTTCCAGATCTTGTAGCCTGTATGGATGTGTGTAGGCTCAAGTTGCTGGAAGCTGCAGTCTAAAAATGTAAGTTGCCTCGACCCTGGTTTAGTGCACTCTTTCCTGTGGGGTAGCTGGCATTCAAGACGTTCTTTGGTCTTTGTTCTTCTGAATGGAACATCCACCAGCCATTCTCTGTGCCTTCTGAGTCATCCTAAAAACCAACTACTTTACTAAAGAATGCTTTCCATATCCGGAAACAGGTCTTTCAAGGAAAGCCTACATTCTCCCTCAAGCCAAAGGAAAATGCCAGAATGTGCAGGGCAACGATAAAAGGGTTTAGAAAGCAATGTTTGTTTGCAGATAGCTTTGTTTTTTTCCAGAGACACACCCAGCCAGCTCTCTCCCTCCTCCCCAAGCCCCACGTTAATTTACAGAAAGAGACAAGAAAATGCATCAGTTGCAGCCAATTAGGCAAATGGCGTAGTGGAAATTTTTTCCAGCATTTTGATCTGCATGTTCTGTGGCTTTTGACTGCCTAGTCTCCCCTAATTAATTAGAGGCTGTTATATGTGTTCAAAGGGAAGGATTCCCCACACTTTGGGGGGTGAGGGGGTGGGAGGGGACAGAGGGATCCCTGATCACTTTCTCCTTAATTTAAAGTCACTTGCAAAAAAAATCTGATTGATTTTTCTTCATTTTATAATAATATTCACAAGGGCAGATGTTATAGATTTATAAATCTTAAGGATATGAATCGGGGGGGGGGTGATTTTTTCAGCAAAATAACTAGGTAGTTGCGTCAATCCAT